GAGCCACGAGGGCATGTGGGGTGGGGTGGGGTGGGGCCTGAAAATGAACATAACTTGGCCAATAAACGATGGTATCTTAAGTACGCCAACGTTATTTAAAGATTGAAAATTTAAATAAGTCAAGCTTGCTTCCAATTGTACAATGCCGTGTTGTAGTTACCTCTTCATTGATTTGAACCTCTTAAGTACGCCAACGTTATTTTCAGTGAAAAATTAAATGATGCTCTTCGTCACCCGACATAGGTTGGTTGAGTACAAAGAGTGACAAAATATTATCTTATGCTTCTATTCTTATATTTTGATTTCTAAAGAGTGATATCAACATAGTGTAGAAAACGGAAATGATAGCACTTGATGTTTGTTTTGACCGTTATCGGTTATTATTAAAATCATTTCACTTGCTTGTTAAGCGGCATAAAATATGTCAATTATCAATTTTAAAAAGTTTAAATATGTCGACTGTATGAACTTCTTAGAAGTTTAGTTCTATAATTTTTAATCGTGTGATGAAAACAATTATAATCGATGAATCAACAGACATGGACTTGTCTATACCCACGTTTTATTCATTTTTTTTTTTTTTTTGGGAAAAATCTCAAAATACAAATGTTCTCATTTTATGATATTTGATCAAATATTAATCCTTATAATTAAATGTATTTGATTGATTTAGAGAAAGAGAGAGAGAGAGAGAGAGAGAGAGAGAGAGAATTATTTGAAAAATAAAAATCACTTCAGCCTAAAAAAGAGTTTTTTCTTGATTTCAAGGGAAATATGGTCACGTGAACAAAAGTAAGAAAATATTTCCGTGGAAAATTTGTCAATCAAACAGCACAAAAGTAGGAAATTAGACGAAAAAACACATTTTTCATGAAAAATATTGACAGTCAAACGCACTCTAGAGAACACTTGAAAGATTATAACAAAATTGGTGAATTCAATATCTTTCAAGATTGGCTTAAACTATAAATATGAATTCACCTTCCAATAATAAACTTTTTGTGTAGGTTCTCTCCTATTACAGGGAAAAAGAAATTCAAAAATTAAGTGAGATTTACAATAAACAACCATGAAGTGCAGAGGTAATATGGTGAAGAGAGTAGAGTTTAATGGAGTCCAAAAAATGCAGAGGTAATATGGTGAAGAGAGTAGAGTTTAAATGTTTAATAGAGTCCAAAAAATGAAGTAAATGATATTGTGAATTAAAATGAGAGATAAGGCACAATACACATTAATTTTATTAACGATCGCTTAATTTAAGGGATTTATGTTAATTATTCCTTTAAATTCTTAATTAATAAAAAAATTAAATTTTCAGTATCCAGTAAGTGTCGAATACAAGAAATATTAGGGGGTTGTTCTTTTCGTGTTTCAATTTTTAATTTTGAATTCATTTTGGATTTTGTACTTTGAGTGTTCATTTTGAAATTGTTGAAAACTAGAGATGGCAACGGGACGGGGTCGGGGCAACCTCCCCCGCCCCGCCAAGCAACTCCCCTCCCTGTTACCCGTTTAAGGCGGGACGGGGTCCTTGCCTTTTTTTTTTTTAAGTTTTTGAAAATTTATTTTTATTGCTCTCATTCATTATATTTAAATAAATAATTTCAGTTGCCATTTTCTATTAGAACTAATAAAATTTCGTGAAAATTTTCATTTAAAGTATTGAATTCAAAAAAAAATTAAGCAAGCGGGGTGGGGCACACGTTATCCGTCCCCTTCTCAGGGCAAAATTCCCCACCCCGAATACCCGATTAAGCGGGTTATTCCCACCCCATTCGGGACGGGGCCACACAGGTATCGGGGTTGTTGGATTTTTTTGCCATCCCTACTGAAAACGCGTTCTTTTTGTCATTTTGAAAAATTATTTAAAAAAAAAAAATGAAGTTTTGGCTTGATTTTAACTGAAAACAGCCAAAACGACATTTTTGGCGTTTTCCGTTTTCTTTGTAAATTTTAAACTCGTTTTCGAAATTTTTTTATGAAAATAAGTAAATAAACGCATTTTCAATATTTTCAAAAATTGAAAATGACCTGAAAACAAGTAAAGAGAACAAGAAGTATTTCATACTTTTTACTGTATTTCACATATCATATTTTAACGTCTTAAACAAATAAATTTTAAATAATAGAATTTTTAGTTCAAAAATTTCGTAAAAAAATTAAATTCAAATATTATTTTAAAGATTCTATATAATAAAGAAATAATATTTAGTCAAATATTTATGCCTCCGTTTGTTTCTCATTTTTCATTCATAAAAAT